TTGTTATGATAAGCAGTGGATGTTTTATGTGAGTGATGAACCACTTAATTCTACTCCTGAAACCAATATTGCACTGTATATTATCTAACTAGAATTTAAATAAAAATATAAAAAATATTAATAAAATAACATGTCAGGGTCAAAAGTGTAGGTAAGAGGAAATATGATACTTTTTAAAGAGAAAAATAAGCAGGTCTAGAATTTCTAGACCAAACTTATTCCTTGCAAAATTCAAAACTGAATTAAACAAAATGTGAAGTTAAAAAAGGAAAAAGCCAGAGGATTCACCATGAACAAGTCAAAACAAATAAAATGCAATTTCTACCTTGATAGGTTTACTTCATTGCAGTTAAGACACTGTAGGCACAGTATAACTTAATTATAGCAAGCAATTGGCAAAATCTTTCATAATATCCATACAAAATGGCATATGGGGACGCCTGGGTGGCTCAGTCTGCCTTGGGCTCGGGTCATGATCTCAGGGTCCTGGGATCGAGTCCCGCATTGGGCTCCCTGCTCAGCGGGGAGCCTGCTTCTCCCTCTGCCTGCCGCTCCCCCTGCTTGTGTGCACATGTGCACTCAAGCTCTCCCTCTGACAAATCTTTTTAAGAAATGGCATATGGGCTTGATAATAACAAATGGAACTAAGTTACTGAACAACCACAATGTGTGCTGATTAATAGATTGATGTTAATCTGGAGGGATTCTAGTTGAGCTGCACATTTCAGAGCCCTTTATTCTGTCATTTTAACATTTTTAACAACTTGAATGAAGACCCAGTAGGTATGCCTATCAAATGTGAAAATGACAAAAAATAATATTAAATGCCTAAATCAAGACTAAGAAATGAAATCAAGACTAATTTAAATATAAGCCATATATATATATGGTATATATATGAACATAAATACAAAAGCCTAAAGAATTCATTGCACAAAAACAGGGTTAGGGAGACTTATTTTAACAATTAATGTATAAAAGATACTAAGTGTAATTGACACTACTGGATCATATTAAACATAAGCAACAGAAACCAAAACTGTTAATGAAATATTTGGTTTCAAAATAACAGCATTTACCTCAAGCAAGGTGTATCCACCACACACTGTCTGGTCAAGTATCATCTAAAATGCTAAGTACAGGGGCACCTGGCTGGCTCAGTCAGTACAGCATACAACTCTTGATCTGGGGTTTGTAAGTTCAAGCCCCATGACAGGTGTAGAGATTTAAAAAAAAAATCTTAAAAAAAAAGAATAAAATGCTGAGTACAGTTCTGAGTACCATGTTTAATGACAATGCGCAACTAGAATTCATTGAGAAAAGTGATCATGGTCGAAGGATCAGAAAGTTATATTAACTAGGAATGATGAAATAAACTGGGACTGTTTTACTCTGCAGAAGAGATGAGAATGCTCAGTGTGTGTGGTGGGTAGAAGAGGTCAACAGGATCATGACAGTAGTCTTCAAATATTTTAAGGGGCCATTCATATGGAAAAGGGATTATACCTGGAAAAAGCAAAATACAGGGGGAACAGCATAGGCTTTGATGTCATAAAGTCCTGGATTCAAACCCTGACTCCATCATTTACTGTGTGTTATTTGATGCTTAGAAAGATTGTTTCCTGGACGCCTGTGTGGCTCAGTCGTTAAACATCTGCCTTCGGCTCGGGTCATGATTCCAGGGTCCTGGGACAGAGATCCGCATTGGGCTCCCTGCTCAGCGGAAAGCCTGCTTCTCCCTCTCCCATTTCCCCTGCTTGTGTTCCCTCCCTCGCTGTCTATCAAATAACTAAATAAAATCTTTAAAAAAAAAAAAAGGTTGTTTGCTTACCTAAAAATGATACTTAATTCACAAGTGGATGAAAATTAAATGCAAAAATGTTTATAAGCTACCCAGCATAGCCTAATACACTGTGACGTATATAAGCTACCCAGCATAGCCTAATACACTGTGACGTACAATGATGTTAACTGCTTTCTCTGACTCTTCTGAGTTGTTCTGTAACAGTGCTTTCCAAACTGAGATAAAATCCATTAATGGGTCACAAAATCAGCTTAATGGGTTGTAACTAGCATTTTTTCCCTAAAACAGAAAATATTAGAGCTTACCACAGGTACTAAAAGTAACTATAGCTTTGTGATACATTTGTTTCAATTATTCATATACTTGTGTAATAGGCTATGATGTAAAATGTATTTCTTTATCATGAAGGTGGGTCCAAAAAAAGCCATCAAAAAGGCTGTGAAAGCCACTGGTCTGAAGCACTGTTTTCTAAGTGTGTTCTATAGGTACTAGATCCTTGGGAGCTCAAAAAAAGTTTACCACTTAGAAATTTACTATATTCGGGGCACCTGGGTGGCTCAGTCGTTGAGCATCTGCCTTCGGCTCAGGTCATGATCCCAGGGTCCTGGGATCGAGCCCCGCATCGGGCTCCCTGCTCGGCGGGAGGCCTGCTTCTCTCTCTCCCACTCCCCCTGCTTGTGTTCCCTCTCTCACTGTGTCTCTCTGTCAAATAAATAAATAAAATCTTAAAAAAAAAAAAAGAAATTTACTATATTCAATATACAATTAGCATATTAAACAGGTCCAGGATTAAAGAAACCTGTTTACTTTTGTTAAACTATTTTTCCCACATGTATTTAACCTCAGACTCACCATTATTTTTTCACACAGTATCTATTAACATCTTCAGAACTAGCATTTTATAGTGTACACTTGGGGAAAAACATTACATGAAAAAGAAGGTACAATGGGTGTCAAGTTACAGAAAGTAAATTTTTGGTATGCTAAGAAAAAATTCTTAATTCTTTGAAATCATCCCCCCCACACTAACACCCACCCCTTCCCACTTGTACTCCAAAAGCATACTCTAAAGCACTTTAAATGATTTATAAAACTTTCAATTCACACAAATCTTTTCAGAAAAAGGAAAGGATCAAGATACGTAGCCAGGATCAAAGCAATAAGCAGGAACCATCTGGTCAAAAGAAAACTCCGGCACAGTATTTAAGACTTGCTTTACCTGAACAAACTCTGCTCAGAAACCAAAGCAGCAAAATACGTATTCAGCTTCCCCAAGTGGAGTCAGTGTTCTAATAATACATAATCTAAAACGGGCTCGTGAGCGCAGCTAATCCTCATTATTAAGAGCATCATTATCATCATCACTTGGAAGAGGCATGTGATGATATTTAAATGATTCTGGATTCTTTTAAAGTGTACACACACCCAGGATTCCTTTGGGAGGACGTGATCTCACACTAATATGAAAAACTGTCACTACCATAGACAGTTCTAATAACATTTCGTATTACTTGGAAATAAAGTAACAGCTTGATATCATATATTCGAGTATCTCTGTAATTCAAACCTTCCTAATTGGGAGTTACAAATAATCTGACTCTGCTCTAGCAATTGTCAGAGCATAAAAGGCCCTTCCCACTCTTTCCCCACCCTCAGGCTCCTAAGCCACCTCTCCTCAAAGTTCGCCTCAGCTACTTTGAACCATTATTTTCTTCCCAATTTTTGAGCATTCTCAGTACTTTTGTTCCTCTCACTCTTTTTTTTGCAATTCACTGTATATCTCCTAGCTCATTTAACTGCATAAAACTTGGCTCCCAAGACTGTAACTGCCTTAATGAACAGGGATCAACATGTTAATGAATCTTTAGACTTTCCCACAAGATCCTATAAGAGCTTACTAAATATTTCACAATTTAAATAACTAGGCTTAAGAGTAACTGCAGTTAGTTTTGGAGAGTTTACTATGTGTCAGACCCAGTGCTAAAACCATACATGAATTATCTCATGTAATCTTCACAACTCCATAGAGATAAGAACTATTGTTTTCTCCATCAAATAGAGGAAAAACGTGAAGCTCGGAGTAACTTGTCCAAGGTCACACAGCTCGTGTGGCAGAGCCAGGGCCTGAATCCAGGCAAAGCTCTTAACTATCTCAGTAACTGTAAAGTTGCACCTCTGCAATATTAGAGTCCATGAAGAATTTCCACTTCACTGGCTTAAAAGTTTCCATTTCAACAAAGAGTTGACACATTTTACCTACAAATCGAAACTTTAAAAAGGGATAAATTAAGACAGTTTCTCATAGACATCTTTATGGGGTTGCAATAAAATGAGGGAGAATGCCTCCCATGACCTTTCTATTTATGTAAGTGATATTATGGTATAGGTCACAATTCTATCAAGAAGTAGCTTATGACAATACAGCTTTGGTTTATATTTTTAAAATAGGGCTTCTTTTCTCTGCCCCTAGGATGACATGGAAATTAAGGACGGATGTGATAACTGTCACTTCACAGCACCGAAAAATGACAGCCCCAATTCTTGTTTAAAAAATAAGAGCCAGGCTCTTGTTCCACCCTTGACTTTTCACACAAAGCAGTACCATCCTCTGCCCTCTTCACACAAAGCAAGCTTTACCCCACTACCCAAAAGGGGAGTGCTGATTCACACGGTCTCCCCATCGCGGCCAGAAATGTACCCATCTCCCACCGGTCCAAACCACTGACGACCGCACTAGACCACTCTGGTCTGCTCCCCGCACCCGGTGATACCTCATCATGCAGACCCCTCCCCGACATCCAAAATACTCAGACCACACTCCGAAAGCCAGCATTTCACACAAAGCAAGATCCTTTCTTTACAAAGCAGTTTCCCACCGCCGACTCCTCCCCCCGCGAGGAGCCCTTCCTTCCCAGGCTGTGCCAAACCACAGACCCCAACAGGGTCTAAAACCCAGAGGGTCCACCACAACCCAGGGGAAAATAAAACTAGCTACAACGCCGTTCGTTCCTAGCACGCCTTGAATCCCCAACTCCAGTTGACCCTTCCGCAGCCAAAGCAAAAAACCCACCAGTCCCCGTCAAGAGAGCGGATCTGGCTACACAAAGCGAGGTGTCTTACCAGGGGTACCCTCGGAAGACGCTCTCCGCCCCCGGGCCCGTCCCCGCCCAGCCCCGGCCCGACGGCCTGCGCTCACCAGCTCTCCTCCTCCTCCTCCCAGCCCGACAGGCGCTCCAGCTCCTCGGGCCGCAGCGGCTCCACCTCGTCCAGAAAGCCGCCCTCGCCCGCTGCCAGCAAGGAGGTGGCGTCCCGCAGCTCCTCGCTGCTCGTCCGCCTCGGGCCCGACCCGACCCCGCCGCCGGACTTGGCACTGAGGCCCAAGGGGAAGCCCCGAGGGGACGCCGCGCCGGAGGAGGGAGTGGACGAGCCAGCCCGAACCGGACTGCCGGGCCCGAGGGAGCCGACGCCCTGCACGGCCCCCGAGCGGCTCCTCAGCTGTTCGTTCTGCTTCTCCAGCTTCTTCACCAGCTCCTGCAGCTTCCGCACCTCCTGGTCCGCGTTCACGTTGGAGTTAACGTCCTCCATCCCGGCCCCGCCGCCTGTGCCGCCTGCCACCCGCTCGGACTCACAGCGACAGGGAGAGGGCCAGGGCAAAGAGGCGTCGCCGCCGCCGCTCACTCTAGCCGAGGCGCCGGCATACAGCAGGGCCAGGCCCCACCGCCAGGGTCCCCCCAGCTCGGGTTCCGAAGCGCCGCTGGCCCCAGCCGAGCCGCCTCATCTGCGCCGGCTCCAGGATTGGGGGAGGCGGCGCCAATATCCGGCCTCGGCCGCCATCTTCCCTCCGTCCCTCCGCCCCCCGCAGCCCGGCCCCGTCGGTGACCTCAGAGCGTCGGGGGTGGACGCGGCCGGCGGCGGGCGCTGAGAGGAGCGGGCGCAGAGCTCGCGGAGGGGCGGGGCCGTGGGCGAGGCCGGTGGGCGGGTCCTCGGCCGGAAGGGGCGGGTCCGGAGCGCCGTGGAGGTGGGAAGCTGCCCCGCTGGCTGGCAAGCGCGATTCTGGCCGCAGGCGGGGCCCCCGCGGGGAGATAGGCTCGCAGAGGCGGGGGAGGAGTAAAGACTTGGCTGTGGGTAGGGCTAAGATCGCAAACTCAGATTCTCCGCCTATTGGTCTTGGATGGGGGGGCGTGTGATGTGTTCTCCACCCCCAAACACTGGCGTGTGGGACCAGCGCCTGATCCTATCTCCTGGCTGGTTCTCTGGTGGGCGCTTAGCCGGACCCCTTGGAAAGAGTTTATTTTGTCTGTTCAGCAAATATTCATTCGATGCCTACTTGAAATAGGAGATTGTGAGCGCTGGCAGGAGCCTCAGGGACTGTCGGTGACCTGTTTCTTCCTCTGAAAATGAGAAAACAGAACCTCAAATGGTTGAGAGGTCTACGGTCAAAATAATAACCAGAAGTTGTTGAGTGTTTACTATGGGCCAGACACTATGCTAAGCATTTTTTTTTTTTTTTTAAGTAGGCTCCACACCCAGCGAGGAGCCCAAAGCCCGCTGGAACTCACCGGAGATCAAGACCCGAGCCCAGATAAGAGTTGGCCGCTCAACGGACTGAGCCACCCAGGCGCCCCTGTACTAAGCATTTTAAAGGCATCTCATCGATTAAAACAGTTTTTCTCACTTAAAGTTTACTGCACACTGGCTTGGAAGCGGGGGATAGAAAACCGCTCCTCTTACCTTTATTAATTGATGCGTAATCTGCTCTTTGGATCGTTTTCTTGGGAAAAACTTTTTCATGGTGTGGCTTGCCTTTTTAAAAAGTGTATTAAGAGAACTTAATAAATAAACATTAAAAACTAAAATAAACCTAATAAGCAAAAATAAACATACTGGGGCACCTGGGTGGCTCAGTCGGTTAAGCGGCTGCCTTCGGCTCAGGTCATGATCCCAGGGTCCTCGGGATCGAGCCCCGCATCGGGCTCCCTGCTCGGCGGGGAGCCTGCCTCTCCCTCTCCCTCTGCCTCTGCCTGCCTCTCTGCCTACCTGTTCTCTCTATCTCTCTGTCAAATAAATAAATAAAATCTTTAAAAAAATAAAAATAAATAAACATACTGATGAATGCTGAGGGATGTATGAATGTAAAAATCTGCCTTCAGTGGCACCTGTTTATAATGTGTACTAACAGCAAAACAAGCCAAAAACCACTTAAATGGGTTTATTTTTAATCACATTCATTATTTTCAGATGTCAGCTGTGAACTATTTGGTTTATGTTTGCAGGTTTCCTCTAATTGCCTCCTCCACCCTTAGCTTATAATGATCCAGTCCTATTACACCTGGGTGTGGACTAATATGCCATGGCTTACTTCTACCTTTTAGCCTCTCTGTGCTGTATTTTCCTTGCCTAGAATATTCTACCTGCCAAATCTGATTCCTTTTTTTAAAACCCATGCTCGCATATCTAGGAAAACTTTTCCTGACAATTCCACAGGATTCAGCTGTTCTGTTTACTCTAGCATTACCTGATCAATAGTTTTCAACAGGTGTTTGTATTTTAAATTTTTTGCTTTTTTGTTTTTGTCTGTTTACTTGATGAAAAGGGACCATTTATTTTGGGTTTTTTTCATGTCTAGTGTCTGACACAGCGGACATACAATATCTGGTTTGTTGAAAGTTGAGAAGAATTTAAATTCTGACAGGTCAAGGTCTAGATGTTTACTGATAGCAAAAAAAGCATTGAGTATTTTCGGGGCACCTGGGTGGCTCAGTCGTTAAGCGTCTGCCTTCGGCTCAGGTCATGATCCCAGGGTCCTGGGATCGAGCCCCGCATCTGGCTCCCTGCTCCGAGGGAAGCCTGCTTCTCCCTCTCCCACTCCCCCTGCTTATGTTCCCTCTCTCTCTCTGTGTCTCTCTCTGTCAAATAAGTAAATAAAATCTTTAAAAAAAAAAGCATTGAGTATTTTCAAAGTTTGCTACTTATAAATAAGCATTTTCATAGATATATGTATCTAATCAAAAGATGTCTTTGTTTGCTAACACAGTAATTGTGAAGTAATATGTATTATCTATATAATGCACATCTGAATATCATGTCTGTGTGACACATCTGAACTAGTTGCCGGAGGGTTCAGTATCATGACTCCTTCACATATAGCACTTTTCACTTGCATTTAACAGTTTGTGAAATAGATGCCAACTAGCTAGGCTCTTTAATGAGAACACTTCAAATATATTCCTTGAAAAGAATAGTTCATATGACATTATGAAGTTAAACACTAATATTTCATGGAAGCAAGAAGAGGTTGGTGTGACAAGGAGCAATGAATGGAGAATCAGAAGGCCCGGTGGCAGACTCTAGCTGTAACGCAAATGTGGTGCTTGACGTTAATCTCTGATCCTTAAGCAAGTCATACTGGCTGTATATTTAAAATACATCTGAATACTTCCTGGCACCTCCATTGGTAGGACTGTCATTCCAATTCCCATCTTTTCTTGTTTAACTTACTGCGGTACTCTCTTAATGGGCTGTTCCACTTTGCTGCTTACAATCTGTGATGCACACAGCAACCAAATGATCCTTTGCTTAGTTGCATCAGGTCACTCCCCTGCTAGGAACCTCGACTTGCTTCTCAACGTATTTAAACTACCACGTCCTTTTCTTGGTTGTAAGACTGGATATTTGGCAGCTTGTACAAGTATCTTATTGACTTCCAATCACTCTTCCCCGCCATCACCCCACTCCAGCCACACTGGCCTTTTTGATGTTTTTTTAAACATGCCAAACATGTTTCTACTGTAGGAACTCTGTACATGCTATACCTTCTATCTAGGATCCATTCTTCCTCCACATTGTCACATTACTAACTCTCTCCATTCAGGTCTCAGCTCATATCTCACCAACTGAGTTCACTATTCTCATCGTTATGACCCTCATAAAATAGCATCCCTATCATTCCCCAAGCTCTTAGCTTGTTTCATTTTTCCTCTGACACATCGTCTATTTCTTCCTTTGTTTGTTGCCTATCTCTCCCCAGTAGAATATGAACTATGTGAAAACGGGATTCACTGCACTATCCCTGGTGCCCTTACTATATTGCAGATTTTCAATAAGTGTTGAATAAATGATGGCTTTAGGTCAAGTGAAGCCTCCTAACAGAGTTTCAGATAAATGTGTTATGTCTCAAATCATTGAAGTGGAAATTCCTAATAATGTTGAATGGTTTTTTTTTTTAATTATATATTTGTCTTCCACAGAGCAACATGTCACACTATATATGTCATCCTCAAAACTAGGTCATTCTCCACTTCCTGGGTGTCAACAGCCTTTAAGAATTGCTGAGGAAAGTCTCAGGTTGTCACTTAAAAGTATGAGGACAAGAATATTTCCATTCTGTCCTAAATGCTGCCTGGATCCTTCTCTTTCAGGTTAACTACAGTACTGTCTTCTCTGATGACTCAGAAGTGTTAGAGCATGTTTTTAAAAAGTCACTCTAAAAGTGGCTCTCTCATGGAGATAGGAGAAGTTCCTCTGGTACATGTCTGCAGTGTGCATCACAGGTGTCTCAACTAGGTTTATCAGGTGTTGCCTTTCACGATAAGCTTGCTTTGTTCCTGGATGAAGGAGTGGCTCCTTTTCTCGGCAGGTGTGGCCCTTTCCGTAACTTGCTCCTACTTGCCTGTTAGCTCCTGCCAAATCTGACGAAGTGAAAAATATTACAAACCACTCTAAGTATTTAGAGGGAAAAACTATTACTCAATGGCCTAAAGGTATTCAGCAATCCTAAAATCCCTAATCACGATGTATGTACATATGTGTGTGTGAGAGTGTAACTGAGCACATGCCCAAAGGTAGTTTAGAAACCGCAAGGCAGGGCGCTTGGGTGGCTCAGTTGGTTAAGCGACTGTCTTCGGCTCAGGTCATGATCCTGGAGTCCCTGGATCGAGTCCCGCATCGGGCTCCCTGCTTGGCGGAGAGTCTGCTTCTCTCTCTGACCCTCCCCCCTCTCATGTGCTCTCTCTCATTCTCTCTGTCTCAAATAAATAAATAAAATCTTAAAAAAAAAAAAAAAAGAAACCGCAAGGCAGGAAAAAAAAGAGAGAGACATTAAAAGAAAGGGCGCCTGCGTGGCTCAGATGGTTGAGCATCTGCCTTCAGCTCAGGTCATGATCTTGGGGTCCTGGGATCGAGCCCCGTGTCGGGCTCCCTGCTCAGCAGGGAGTCTGTGTGTCCGTCTCCCTCTGCCCCCCACCCTGCTCGTGCTCTCTCTCAAATCAATAAAATCTTAAAAAAAAAAAAGATATTAGAAACCTCAAGGCGCTTACAGAAATATTTGCATTTGTTTAAAACATGCTCAAATTTGTTGAAGAAACCTCTACTATCCAACACATCCATTTTATCCTCACACACACCCACTTGGCTAGTCATTTCCCATGTGTCCTCTCTCACCTATTCTTCACCAGCATCCTTCTCCTAGGTGTACCTCCTCAGGTCTGTCAAGGGATCTTTTCTTCACTGTCTTGGCATATGCAATTTTAAGAAGGAATCTCAGGAACTTCAAAGGCTAGGTGTATATGAGATTCTGAATTGAAATCCTATGGGCAAAAAGAAGAGGGACCCAAGATTTGGACCTTAGAATTTTTCTAGTCAGCATATCACTTCCTTCTGGAAGTTCCTCTGGCCAGAGAGTGGCCCCCTATCACAGCGTGGGGGCATGTATTATATTGATGTAGGGGTGAGGAGGTTCATGAACAGGGCAGATGTGAACATATTCTTAAACTCTATGAGACTGCTATCTTAGCCCTGAAGGAAACAATACCTTTCTGCCACACTTTTTGTGGTAGCAAGTGAGGAGATAAGATTGCTAAATAACATTTATTATTTCCTCTGTA